GAGAGGGATAGAGAGAAGGATGAGTGAGGATGACATGTCGGGCCACATGGACCCCGCTATTTTTTAATTATTTTGTGTCTAGATGATATGTGGGTCCCATAGTTTTTATTATTTTTTCATGATCGAATTAACACGTAAGCGTTACGTCAATGCCACGTGAGACGAAGACCTAGTCAAAGGATCCACGTGCCACGTCAACCAAAACCGGGCACAATAATACTGAGGGACCCTCTTTGTACTGTTTTTGTAAGTTGAGAGATGTGTTGTGCCTAGTTTTGTGCTCAAGGGATGAATTTCGGACTCGGTGATAAATTAAGAGACCTAAAGTGAACTTTTTCCTCATCATAAAGATCCTCCAGTTCATGGTTCCCCTTTTGGCATATTGGGCCTAGTTGTTGCTATCAGGATGTATACCAACATACCAAGTCGGGGTTCGCTTTTATTATTATTATTATTATTATTTTGTGTTATAAAAGTTGAAGGTATGAAATAAGTTAGCGAAAGTTGCGTGATACATAGCTGTAACTTGTCAAGAATTTGTCGAACGTTTGGTCTGCCGTGGATTCAGTGACCCTGGGATGTACGCTTGATAAGATCAATATGATTCAAAAGAAGTACTTCCTCATTTTCTAAATGTTTGATACCGTTGACTTTTTAAACATGTTTTACCATTCATCTTATTCAAAAACTTTTGTGAAATATGTAAAACTATATGTATACATAAAAGTATATTTAACAATGAATCAAATGATAAGAAAAGAATTAATAATTACTTAAATTTTTTTAATAAGACGAACAGTCAAACATGTTTAAAAAAGTCAACGGCGTCAAACATTTAGGGATGGAGGGATTACTTGTTATATCATGTTTACACTCTGCTGCGTTGTTATTAATTAATAATTAATAGAATTATAGAAACCAGCAGTTGTTCTTGCACACACACATAAATTTGCAGATTGAACAGGGGTTGCAATATAATCGGATTTCACAAGTTTGTGTACTAGTATTTTCCTACAACCTAGGTACTGAACGATAATGTGGCATGAATTTGCATGGTACTACATAATGATTACTACTCCTTCGTTTCATATTATAAAGTAATTTTAACTTTTTCCTAATTAAACTTCTTCAAATTTTATTAAATTTATATAAAAACATAGTAATATTTTTAATACAAAATAAATATGTTATTAAAACATGTTCAATGTTAGATTTAATGAAACGAAATAGTGTTTTAAACGTTTCTAATTTTTTATATAAATTTGATCAAATTTAATAAAGTTTGACTATGAAAAAAATGTCAAAGCAATTTATAATATGAAACTGAGGGAGTAGATTGGATGATGCAATAGAGATAAACAGGGGAGCAAACATCCATCTGCAAACCAATATATACACAAAGAAGCTAGTAGCTGGTAAAAACATCATCAGTATAACTGGTATACTTGAGTGGCAAAAAGGTACTAGCTACTAATCAGTACATATACTTGACTGGCTAGCCAAAAATAGTAGTAATCAGTATATTAACAAGAACGCAGTAAAAACAGCCGACGGCAAAAATGTACTAACAGGAGTGGCTGCATGCACTGCATTCTGCATATGGACTCCCTCCCAAGGAGGCTAGGAGAAGCTAGGCAGGTGGTAGTATGGCATATGTACTCCTAAATGGTTTGTGCATAGAGCTAGTAAGAAACTCAACATCAATTATGCTTTTTTTTCAACAGCATATAGGCTAACTAAACTCGAGTGAGGGTCGATGCTTGAGTCAAAAGTCAATGAAGGCACGCCCCCAGAAAGGCAATGAGGCTCTCGTAGGTGGCGAATCCTCTCGTCCCTGGAGCGAAGCCTTGTGCCCCTGCCCGAGCAAGCTTGCAGTACACGTCCCAGTTCTTGAAGTGGTCGTCGTCGAAGGCAGTGGTGAAGATGCGAGGCGTGGGCGTATTGGGCACCAGGGATGGCCAGAGCATCACCCATGGCTGCAGAGTGGGACCATAGAGTCCAGCTGCAAAACCCATGACGATCCGCGTCAGAAGCTCCCGGAAACGGACGGCCTCCGATATGCTGACAACTGTTCTCAGCATGCTCCGCTTTGTTGCCTTCGGCTGCTGAAGGCAGAAAGGCTCCAGTAGGTATCAGACTGTCCATGGAACCACATATCTAGACTGCTTGGGTCGCCGGCGAGTCCCCTGTAATTGCCTTTGAACGGAAGCGGTCGGGTCCACTGAAGCTTCTCCGCCTCAGTGATGTCCGTGCCCAGGTCGGCATCTTGGAGCGTCTGCCATATGTTGCCGTGGAGGAAGCCGAGGAGGTAGAGGTTCTGACTTGCGAAGAGCAGTCTCACCGGCTCGCGTGTGCCTCCAGCCCAGTTAGGAGGGGTGTGCAAGACCACCACGAAGTGCATGTTGTGGTTCGGCACACTGGGAAGCACCAGAGTCTTGTACTTGCAGTAAGCCTCACCAGCAGCTGGGCCTGGGAAGATCTGACCGGCGCTGATGATGGGGACCACGCCCTGGTTCTCCGCCGCCGCCAAGTGACTGACATGTCTCTTGATGTCACTAACCATCTGCACATACGAACTTGTCATTCGCTGGCAATCCTCGTACAGCCTGAAGTGGATGTACGGACAACCGCCGCTCTCCTGCATTTGTTGCAATCGGAAAGACAGAGACATAATTATATACGTTAGTTCGTCGATTCGATCAGAGAGTAAGAGATACATAACCATTATTCAGATATATAACCCAATCAAGTGTAATCAACAACATGCGCGCGCAGAAATTGGTTATTTCGATCAAACACATTCATGCATGCGTGTATATATTCAGATAACTGACTGAATGAATGAATTAAGCGATCGTCCGATCGAGACCGATTAATTCCATCAAAACAGGAACTCATACATATGCATATATTAACACAACTCAATGAAAACGAAGCACGTAACAGTATAGAACAAAGCATATGCAGAGACTTATTAATTCCATCAAACGTACACGTATGCATTTACAGATTTTTGATCAGAAACTCATCCATATTCAAACAAAATGAGGAGACATTAAAAGGCAGGCATGCACTAGGCACGATCGATGGAGCATTAAAAGCCAAATCGTTGTTCCTTGAAACAAAAAAATGGCAAATCTCGTTCATTCAAAAAGGAGTTCGTTAAAAAAAAAACTCGTTCGTCAGCACCCCCCCCCCCCCCCCCCCGGCACGGCTTGTACGGGGATCTCTCCCGGCGGCGGCGGCTGGGGTATCAGAAGAGAGCGCGGTGGCGAACATCCCGCACCGCCTCATCACCGCCCCATCCGACAATGTAAACCTAGTTTTTCTATCCGCGCGCGCGCGCCGCCGCGTGCATGGTTTAGTTTCCGGCGAACTAACTAACTAGTTAGTATCCTTCTCCCGGTCCGGGAGGGAGATCGATCGGAAGACACACGCGCCGCCGCGTGGTTTAGTTTCCGGCCAACTAACTAGCTAGTCCCAAATCCCAATCCCATGGCTATCTCCACCGCGCAGCAACCCGATACCCGGCCGGCCTCTCCCCCGGACTCACGGAGCGCACGACGAAATGCATGTGTGCCTCGCTGCTAGCCAACACCATCGAGCGCGCCGCCACCCGGCCGCCGTCGACATGCCGCCGACCCCAACCTGGTCGGCCTCTCTCCCTCGCAAACCAGCCGCGGAGCGCACGACGAACCCCCAACCCGGCGGCGTGGCCACCCTAGCCCCAGTTCCCCACCAACCCGGCCCCAACCCCTTCGTGCTTCGCGCACTAGCCCGATCAGCCCTTCAAGTTCACCGGCCGGCCGGAGCGGAGGACGACGAACACACACGCGCTCACCATTTCAGATGGATCAACACGCAGGTTGACGAATAGCAAGCACTTGCCTGAAAAAGTGGATTCATGACGGCGCGCGCGGCGGGGCCTGCTCCCAGCTGGACTCCTCTCTCCTCCCTAGCTCCGGCGGCGCGCGCTGCCGCCGGCTTCCCTCCTCCTCTCCGGCCTGTCGCCTCCCCTCCTCTTCTCCGGGCGCCTCTCTCCCTTCCCTCTCTCTCTATGCTCCAATCTCTCCGGCTTGTTGATCAAGCGCAATCCGATCCAACCCTCTCTATATATATATATCGTTCCCGTGCAACATTACATCCACCTTTCCCGTTGGCTTAGAAGCTTAGTTTGAATTGAAAAGAAAATATCTTAGCCTTTGCATACACACACCTCCAATCGCTTAACTAATTAATAATTATGACCATTAACAAACACACAAATATTATCTATCACGAAACAAATACACAAACTTTTGATATTTTATTTTTTTAAAATATGAATATGTTTGTTTTAAACAAGAGGAATATTTTATTTTCAAAGCATAGTACAATAAGAATAAATACGCACACAAGCCCTATCCGTATGATCTCTTTCGTTACAACTAACTAGGCCATTATATACCGGTAAAAGAATAATTAGCTAGTAGCGACATGGCATCTACTTGGCAGTGCAACATGTTTCTTTTGCTTCCTATTAGTGTTGGGTGATCGAGCCAGAGATTCAGCCACCGAAGAGGTTGAAGGAGCTATAGGTAGGTAGGTATAATTTTTTTATTATTCGATGTTTCACTTAATATATTTTGAATGTTTAATGTGTGCTAAAAAATATTAACAGGAGTTTAAACTGTGTTGCATTTATTTGAAACATGATATTTTACGAATATTTCGATGTTTCTACCAATGTCTTTGATGTTTCACGCATGATAGATAAATGTGTTTCAACTAAGTTAGATGAAATTGTATTTGTTTGAAACTTTTTTTTTCTAGCGACGAAACATTTCAACACGTCAACAAATGGTCGGGGCGTCCTAGTTGTTTCGGGAAAAAAAATTATAGAGGTAATTCAGGATTTCAGGGTGAATAAACTAAACATTTTTCCACGCGCCCCGCATGTATCCTTTCTTTCCACACAAGAAAGAAAGAAAATACTCCTACTCCATACATAAGAGAGAGAGAATACTACTCCAGTTGAGCGGGCCTCGGTATCACTTGGTCGTCCGATCTGCTGCTCTGTGCCCTCAACCGTCCGGATAGCACCACGCATGCACACGGCCGCTCTTCATTCGCAGGCCGCCGCCGCCGCCACATCCTCATCTTCTCCTCCGTTGCCGGCGATGACGCGTATACCGAACGCGAGGGACGGCGGCGATCCGCTTGACACAGAAGATGGATTCTGGAGCAGCGGCGACCAGCGAAGCAAAGATCCGATCGAGGTGGCGGCGGCGCGCGGTCTCCTCCTCGTCCTCCTCGGCAATGGTAAGCTTGACTTCCCTTGCTTATGCTCCTTCCTTGTCCTGGATCTTGGCTTGCATATCCCATCCTCATCCCACCCAACCTTCGTTCATCTATCCCATCCCCCCGGCCCCCTTCTTCTTCTTTTTTTTTGTTGTGGTTACATTGCTCTGATTCATGCCCATTAGGTTTTTCACCAAAATGTTGGAGGTGCATTGAAATTAACTTGCAGTATTGAAGGGCTCCATGATACGCATCACACATTTCTCTTCTTCATGTGCAACCTGTGTTTTCCTCAATTTCATCAATCCAAGAATAATAATAAGAAAATAAATATTCAAGTTCAATTCTTAAAAAAAGGATTTCTCAGGAATAATCGTACTTCTGTCGTAGTACACATTTAGCATTTCTCATTATGAGCAAATGGATATCCTAATGTGTAGGTCGTTTTAGATTTCTCTACTCTTCTCTAAATGTATGTTGTTATAGAACTTTGACTCTTTGCGGCATTTGTCCCTTATTTTTTCGTCTTATGCCCTTGCTAATTGAATATGACTTTCCTCATGCATAAATGAGATATCATTTCCAATGTGTAATAACTAAAGGGCAACTATTCGTTTAAAAAAAAACTAAAGGGCAACAAGGCCATTTTAAGTTTTTAACAGTTTCTTAATTCCTATGCACAACTCTAAAACAACCTTTGTTTGGAATCAGACAAAGTACTATACCGTTTTGCGGATTGAAAGGTAACAGCTATGCTAATGATTTATCTTGCAAAAAGAAAGAAAAAGCTAAGGTGGTAATTAGTTTTCTGGTTTACCAATCTGTGCATTCCTTTTGTTAACTTGTATACATACATTTTATACTTAATGATGTTCTTGCAAACTGTATTTCAAAACAAACTGATGATAACCTTCTAAAAGAAACAAACTGATGATCACCATCTTACCTGCCTCTCATACCTCTACTGGAAAACATGTTGTTCATATTGCTCCTGCTCACTAATACAAGCTGCAGGTTGTTGTATATTAATATTACCGAAAGGTACGTCTTCTCTTTGTTCTTGAAAACAAGATGAGGCTCTACATCCAATTATGCTTTCTTTTGACCGAGTGGGGCAACTCTTTTTTATGTGCTATATCCCCCAATTCTTCAAAAACTTGTCATTGTAACTGCCGAACTGTTTCTTGCTTTAATTGCTACTTGGTTTGAATAAGTCTACCTGAGTGAATAAAGCTGCATTGGTGCATTCTTGTGAGTCCAATGTTCTTTTAGCCCTCTAATTTCATGCAGAGTTTTCCATTTAAAATTTACTGTTGGGAGACTATTCTTGTGGCTATTGATATTTAGGATCTTAATGTTTCCTTCAGTTCGTTGGTGGGGTCTAGGCACCTATAGTTGCATGCCATGGATTGTATTATTCAAGTCTGTAAACATGTTTGAATAAAGCTTGTGCTCTTTCATTTTTCTCTCTAGGTTAATTCAAGTTATAAATGTAGCTCTGTATGTACTGAAATGCCTGGTTTTTGTGCTAAGTTTAAGTTCATCAGGAGGTTTGTGACTCTGTTAAATTTGGGAATGATCTGGCTCATGAGGTTGGTGTTGTGAACTTGCGATACTTTTCTTTGTTGCCACTATATTCGACCAGGCCAGTACTGATGGCTGGCCCCTTTGGTCATTGAACTGCCTTGCTGCTTACACGCAAAAATAAAAGGTTAATACTGCTTTACCAGTTCATTTCAGAACTCCGTTGCAACTATAATTCAATGCTTGATGGTCTTTACATCTGTGTTTTTCCACATGATACAGTACACATTTTGTTACTCTTGCATTGCAACTATCAATCCCTGACAAAGTAACCAGTCACTGTCGTAGATATATTCATATATAATCCTTTGCTCAGGAAAGACAATGTGTTTTGTCGTTTGTTTTTGTAAATAGCTAATGCTGCTGTCCGGAACTTCTGGGTCTCATGGGAGTTGAATCATGCATAACTACAATGTCTCTTGGGTCATCCACTACAACACACTGACTAAATATTTTAGCTGTTTTTTTCATCTTTACTTTGTTCGAGTTATGTTTTAGTTCATTAGAGTGAAGGATAGAGTAACCAATCATGAGATAAATTTATCCTTAGGCCAGGAGTATGCTTTTTTGTGTACTTATCAATTTAATGGTTAAGAGGAAATTATAGTAATATGTAACTGATAAAATAGTAAGCCATATATGGAACAATACATATCCGGCATTTCAAATCATAAGATTTCTTAACTTCTACTAAAAAGTTTTGTAGATTCCTTATATTGTTTCCTAATTTTCTAGAAGTTGTTGGGTGGTTAATCTATGTTAGGTATTGATTATTCATTGTCTTTTCGTGGAACAGTAATGATGATTTCATAGAACACATTTTGGTTGCTAATGGTTTTTTGGATCATGTGTTTAAGTGCCATGTGGAACAAGGATGGCCGTTTAGTTTGCTATGCAATACAGTCAACATCTGCTTCTCCATATCTACTGTCCTTCGTGTGAGAGAGGGGGGACATGAGGTTGCCACAGATGAACTTTGTTTGCCATGAGCAATTCAAATGGCTTATCGAGGGATTTTGGGTAGAGAGCTAATTGAAATACTTTTGTATTTTGTCTACTGGTATTTATTAATCGTGCAGTTCAAGCTATTGACGAGTAAATTGGACAGGGTCTAGTGTCAAACGAAACCAGTACTAGAAACTCACCTGATCCTGTGTCTGCAATCTATCCCCGGGAAGTGGTACACATGTGAACTAAGTAGGGTCTGTTTGGTTGTTCCTGTGAGGACAGGACATAGCTTGGGGGTGGTTTGGTCATTGTGCCCTGGCTATGAACCTAAAATGGAGGAAAATAAATAAGCCAGTTGGAGAGTGGCATTTTAATGTGTACAATATCTAGAGTGGCCTTTTATCGAATTCCACTAGGAGTGACACTCCATCAATTTTATCATGCTGATAGTAGTTCAAGTTGTCGTATTGCTTGAGAATGAGCTGGAGTTGTTTGTTGGATTGCTGTAGGTATGATTGTTGCTGCCATTTGAGTAAATCGGGAAAATATTTCAAAGTTAACCTGACTTGCTAAAGTACAGGAAGGAGACTGACCAGTGGCTTGCATCACCAAAGCAATCGACTCAGTCTTGAAGGTTTACTCTCCTTTTTTTTAACTTTTCTTGGATTCATGGACACTTAAGTCCCTAGTGGCACAAATTACATGTTCTCATATCACCGAATATTGAAACAAAATGGGATGTATTTTGGTTGTTCATTTTCTCAAGTATCCATGCACACCACTGCACTGGAATAACATAATAAATTCAATAGTATAGTGATGTGCAATTTGCGTAGATTCCCTTAGTTGATCGTATGCCACTTTTTCTTTTATTGAAACGTCCGTTTAATTATGTTACAGGAAATTGGAGATTTCGAGAACTGGATGAAGATCATGGATTTTGATTGTAAAAGTATAAATGCAGCCATCCCTAACATTTACCAATCTTGACTCAGCCAGTGGCTAATGTTAGGAAGAGATTTTATCTTGCTCCTCACTTAACAATTTTTATCTCAGATATGAACTCTGTTGTATAGATCTGTTTTTCTGGTGTTCTGTACACAATTGAAAAACAAAAGCTTGCCAATCACTTTTTACTGTCAAACTATATAAAACCTCTGTTGCTCATTGTCTAAGCCAGGTCTATTCACTGTCCATTTTGTCCCTGGCAAATTTTGGTGTAGACGTGCCGTGTATAATGATATCCATCGCTTATAAGCAACAGCTATGGAGGAGGAATCGTGTGGTCACATTTTTCGTTTAGCTGGACCTGAATAATACTGTCTCTGTAGTTGCCCATCTGTGCCTAGATTTTTTACTGCCACCAAAACACATGTTTTCTTCTGCTCCATCTGGGGAGCACAGCCAACAGATGCTCGATGGCTTTGAACACCAATGCTCAGGATTTACAAAACCGCACGGTTATCGTGGTTACTATGCATGATAATATTTTTAGTTTTTAAAACCATGGAATGTCTCGCGGTTTTCATGCTAACCGCGTGGTTACCGCCTGCAGTAACCGTGCCGAAAACGGTAAGGGAACCCTGCAGCCTCCATCTGCAGTTCTGCACCCGTTTGTTGCGACCGGCTGATCACCCAGAACAGCTCAGAAGGTAATTTTTAAAAAATGTCAGACGATATTGTTTTTTTAACACAATCATAATATTGCAATCAAAGTTGACAGCAAAAAAATTAAAACAAAAGGGTATAAGAACAATGAACTTTGTTTAGACAAAATTTACTATATTGCATTGCATTATTAACAATATATGATTAAGTAAGGCGCCACAGGCTTCACAAGTACGGTGTACTGCGCCTCATTTGTCATCAGACCATAAGAGACCAAGTAACCTTCACAAGCATCTTAACACTACCACAAGTAACTTCAGTCACATCTGAACCATTGAATTTTGGAGTAAAATCAATGGTTTGCGTAACACAGCCAGTTGGAACTTCGTCATCCTGATTAACAACGGTCAACAGAAGCTTCTCCTTGTTGTGGACAGCCATGACACGTCGAGATAACTGGACATCAAGATTGTCGGCCATCACACAGCATGTTCTGCTATCAAGAAGAACAACTTTATCTTGAATGTTGGTGGTGCAAGCTGCGACTTCTCCACAGAAATATCCCTCCACAACCTTGATTTCAACAGTAGCCTCCACTGCGTCTTTAATAACTGCATATCTCAACTCCACGGTGCCGAGCTTACCGACAAAAGTGTCATTTTCGACCTCAGTTTTGACCTTTATTGTTCTTCGGATGCCATCAATCATAAGCAATCCCTTGCTATGCTCTTTTTTCTTCCCTCTTAATCGGTCATCCTTAATTCTGAGATCAACCTCAAAATATACAGCGTCTTGTAACACGAGTCCTCGAGTTGGGCCAGTCAAGATCAACGAATCGTCCTGTGAATCAAGTAACATGATAAGGTAATGTCGTGTTACTTTGAATGCAAAATAATAAATATAGGAACAAATTTAAGTAAAAGCGTCATATAAAAGCTATTACCAAAGATGATACAAAGCATATATAGGTCTACATCTGCATCTTACTAATGCCATGATATGGTCAACTGCTGTCATGTATGTACACTTGTTAAACTTTTATACCATATAACTTTTCAACAAGACATGAGAAACAACTCACGAACAAAAGATATTGGCCACATTATAGATGCAACATCAACTAAAAAAGATGCCATAATAAATTTTGGCCATGTTAGATTGACAATTAATAAAACAGCGCGCAAATACCAAATGAAAATTGACTGCAGATGAGAGCAGTAAGACATTTAGATTCATATACAGATATGCAAGATGGCAGTACAATTTGATCGATGGATGTGAAGAGAAACAGAATGCACTGTTCTTTGAAAAGAAAATTAATGCTTTTTAGTACCTTTGAGTTGATGAGTTGGCAATCATCTCTAGGGCGACGGAAGAGATAAATGCACTTCTCATCGAGGCTGTCTCTAGCAATTACAGTGCCATAAACATTAATCGGGAAGCCTACATCTGAGCTTAGTATCTTCACTGAAAGAATGTTTACAGAGTTGCGCATCCGCAGTGCCTCATGCTCATTGTAGATTCTGTCAGTGTATCGCATTGGACCAAGAGGAGCTGCATTGCATGAATTCAATGAACCAGGTTACTTGTAGTAGTAACAAAAACAAGGGAAAAAAATAGTGCCAATTAACAGTTATGCAGGAAATTCAATATACTGCAGTTGCTTCTTCAAGTCAATATATATATAATACATTTAAAATACATTGTGAAAGAAAGATTGTTTCATAGTAATTGCTTGAATTGAAGACTAAGAGAGAGGGCATGGGGGAGAATTTAGATGCTTACACTCCTCGTTGAGGTCGAAGGTGAGGGGGTTAATGAAGAATATTCTGGTGAAGTAGTGAAGGCCAGTCTTGGGATTGAACTTGCGGTTCTTCTTGAAATAGGCCTCCTTCGCCTTCCTCACCTTGGTCTGCTGCTCCACCACCCGCGCGCGATCCTCTTCCCGCACCCGCCGCCTTTCCGCCGCCGCCACCGACTCCGCCACCGTCGCAGCCTCGTCGTAGAACAAGGGCTCGAGGTCCACCTCCACCTCCTCCTCCTCCTCCTCCTCCTCCGGCGATACGCCGCCGTCCAACCCCAGTACGCCATCGGTGAAGAATAAATCCATCACGCGCCCAATTTCTTCATCGTCGAATACAGAGACGTCGTGGCGCCCCATCGCCGCCGCCGCCGCCGCAGTACGCCGCAGTGAGCTTTGTTTTGCTGTATTCTATTAGGCCGGGATTGGTGTTGTAGGTGGGCTGGTCTGTGCTGGATTGTGGAATTTTTTTCGGATTTAGATTTTTTTTTAAATATTTACAGAAATAATCTATCGACCAAAAAAAATTGCAGAAATAGCCCCTGCCGCCCACCTCTGGGGGCGGCAAGCTGACGTGGCAAACGGGGGAGGAACGGGCGGTGACGGAGGGAGGGTTTTTTGCAGGAAAACCCTTGCCGCCCTCTGGTGGGGCGGCAAGTGGCCCGAATGCAAAAAAGCCAGTCGGGGCCGGCTATTTTGCAGGCGGCCCCTTGCCGCCCTCTGGCCGGGCGGCAGGCCTCGCTGCCTATAAAAGGCCTGCTGCCCAGCCCCCAGCCCTCATTCTTCTCTCCTCAATTCCAGTGAAAAAAAAGAAGAGAGGGGAGGAGAAGAGAAGAAGGGGCGAAGCCCTGCCGGATTCAGATGCCGATTTCAGGTAATATTCATAGATCCTATATGTGACTATTGAGTTAAATAGTGTGTATTCTTTAAAATTTTGTTTGAATAAATGCATTATATTTTTAGGGTTTTAGTTGTACTAATCTAGAAGTGCGTATTGTAGATATCGGTAACTACGTAGATCTGCTAGTTTGGAATTAATACATTACCGTTGCATTGGCTTACACAAGAAGATATTACGTTGTAGATGTTTATTGCATGAAAGAGTAATATGATCTAGTTATTTCGTTGACAGATATGTCGAACAAACAAATATTCCAAGTTTACCATGGACCAGGAAACGTCCGTTACGGGCCAACTGGGGTAGATCTGTCAGATTTTATTGTATCAGAAAGGGGAATTGAGAGACCGGCTGAGAGGAGTGTACCTTCTATAAAAGGATGGTTAATGAGGGGCTTGAGAGTTGATCCACAGACAAGTGACATAACAATCAATGTTATAGTAAGTCGGGCAACTGAGGGTTTTTATTGGGAACTAATGCCAGTTCAAAACTCTCGAGTGTGGAGATGGTATTTGGAAAATGCATTGCAACGCGGGTGGCCTCTAGCTTTGGTTCCGTTTGTTCACCCGAAGGATCCAGGTGTGCAGACGAACATGGATGATAGCGAGGGACCAAGTGCTGAAGTAAACGAGACTTCTGTGGAGGAGGTCAACGCACGAGAGGACGGGGGCGTAGTAGCTCCAGTGGGCATTCAACCAGGTGGAGTGGCTGACGAGGGGGAGACTGTCGGTGCCATTGTGGATGAAATGGAGAGGGAGGATTCTGACAACGAGCATGTAGAGGAAGGTGATTCGTCAGATGATGAGACGGATATTAATCCAGCAGAATGGGCTAGTGAGGATTTTTCTGGGCTGATCGTCTCTGAAGAGGATAGTGTGAGATGGGAGTACAAAGAAAATGAGGTTATTCAGGGAGCGATTTATAGTAGAGCAGAAGATATGAAGGAGGCGGTAAAACATTTTGCAGTGTCACTTCATAGAGAGTTTTGGGTTGCCAAGTCGAACCGGTCGCAATATGAAGTTCGGTGTGTTAAGGAAAAAGATGGTTGTCCCTGGAGAGTGCACACGTATAAGGGGAAATGGAAGGATTATTGGACGGTGTCAGTTGTTACCAAGCATACATGTTTTCTACCTGGTGTTCAGAAATACCACAGGAACATTACATGTGCATTTGTTGCATCTGAGATGTATGCGCATGTCATCGATAATCTCACATATGAACCAAGGTCAATAATCCGACACATTGAAGAGACATACAAGTATACTATTAGCTATGCCAAGGCCTGGAGGGACAAACAGAAAATAATAGAGATGAGATTTGGAACTTACGAAGCCTCGTATGACAATTTGCCACGCCTGCTTGGTGTTATCGAGGAAAGAAACCCTGGGAGCTCTTACGAAGTGAAGAAATTCCCCTCAATTGAACATCCTGGCAAGAGTGTGCTGCAAAGGGCGTTCTTAGCTCTACATGCATGCAAGATGGCATTCGTGAACTGTCGTCCTGTTCTCTGCATTGATGGGACATTCTTGACAGGAAAGTATCGGGGCCAGATACTAACAGCAATAGGGGTAGATGGGAACAATCAGGTATTGCCCTTGGCATTTGCTTTTGTTGAGAGTGAGAATACCGACAGCTGGTACTGGTTCCTGAAATTGGTTAAAACAAAAGTTGTTGGTATGAGGCCAAATGTATGCCTGATACATGATAGGCACGCTGGCATTCTGCGAGCGATAGGAGAGTTGCAGTTTGGGAGTATGGAACGAGGATACCCCGGTGTTTGGGAAGATGTACAGAGTAGGTGGTGCATGCGTCATATGGGAGCTAATTTCTTCAAGCAATTCAAGAACAAGGAGCTCATGAACATGTTCAAGAGGCTGTGCAATCAGAACCAGGAGAAAAAATTCAATGAGCTTTGGAAGAGATTAGATGAGTTGACAGCCAAATGCAGTGATCAGCGTGCAGCGGCTCCATCGACCGCCGTTGCTGACCCTCCTCAAGCTCTTGGACCTCTCCCAACGGATAGTCCAACATTGGTTAGAAGAACTGGATTGGAGATTCGGGAATTTTCTCAGTGGATTCTGCATGAACCAAAAGAGAAATGGGCCAAGGCGTATGACACAGGTGGTGCTAGATATGGAATAATGACAACAAATTTGGCAGAAGTTTACAACTGGGTGATGCGCGGTGTCCGTGGAGACGACGTTGCTCGGGCAGACGCAGCTGTACAGCGGCCACCCGTACCGACTGGTCCCTGTCCAGCTGCGCACGTTCCTAGGCCGACTCCCCCTCCGCACGGAGGTAACTATTTTTATTACTACTTCTATACATGCCTCGCACATATAAGTGAGCCGTTTCACTTGCCGATTGCTTCAGGGTTTCGTGCACCGTTCAGCACCCCGCCTTCCTCGGCTAGGCCTTCTGTTGTGCCCCCCACAGGTACTTAAAAAAACAACATTACTTCCACAATCAATTTACATACATTTTATGTCTTAGCTTACAAGGGTCCCGTTGTCGATGTGTAGGTTTCGCCCACTTCGCTATGACGCAGGCCGCCCACTTCTCCCAGGCTGCAGGGTCAGCGTCACAGGCAGCCGGCACGTCGAGTCAGGGTCCACCACTGGACCATGCTGGGACCTCGTCGGACCCCTTCCTGTCTTCCACCGTGCTCTTCGACATCACTGACTTCGACTTCGCTTCAGGCTCGACAGAGGACGTCATCGGCCCCTCACAGCTGGGAGGCGCACCGCCGGTGCAGACGCAGGACCAGGCGCAGGCCACTCCTCCGCGGGACACTCGTGCTACCCGTGCTGTGCCACCGGATCGTTTCACCTACTCCCAGGACTACGTGCGAGCACAGGCCCAGAGGACCAAGCGTGGTCGCGGCGCGGGGCAGGGCCAGTAGAGCAGTCTTCTTTTTATTTACTTGCTTCACTTTCCAGTACTGTATGCTTGTGTAATGACTACGTTGTGGTTATATGTGCACGATACCTTTTGGCGCATGCACAATACCTTTCGGCGTATGCACGACTACTTTCTGCCGCACCAATGCAGCCTCCTTTATTCGCGTGTGATATGAGTATTTGCCCGCCATTTGGCGCATACGACCAATGTAACTTTCGGCGCCGATCATGCATGTATCTTTCGGCGCCAATCAGGCGTACCCACCATACCCCACCACGTTCACATGTCAGGGGTATCACTCGATTTTTTGCGCCTATATAAGTCGCCTTAACGAGTGAGCCCTCACAATCTTTCAGAACTCAGTCACATTCAGTACTCTCTTCCCCACTTGCTTCATTACAAATCCGACCGGCTTTCGTCAATGGCTAGACGCCGGGGTGTTGAGGATCCAAACTGGCGTAGCGATCCTTGTGTATACCTACTACCACCTTGGTGCCAGCGTCCTCTCTGCCTATGCGGTGATCGATGCCAACTAATGGCTTCGAGGAATCCTGATATTCGAGGAAGGCGCTTTTTTAAGTGCCCTAACTATGACCGTGAGGTATTTTATTATCTGCATATGCTTATTCATTCCGTATGGGCAATCGCTTTATTCTTCGTAACACTACTCTATTCGGCAGACCCGCACTACAGCTTGCGCATACATCGAGTGGGTCGATACAGAAAATCCCGTTCTCGACCTAACCACTTGTTTACAAGAAGGTCGCTGGTATTTCGCATCCGAAAGTACTGAGCAATACTTACAAAGAAAAGCGGCTTATGAACGACAATGTCGTGAACAACAGAGCGACTGGCGGGTGCTAACTACGGCACTCCCTCCATGGGAAGCCCGTCCAAGATGCAGGTGTGGTGATCGTTGTCAGGTTCTTCGTTCCATAAATCCTACAACATTGGGTCGAAGGTTCTTTGTTTGTCCAAATATTCTTGACGACGATTTCATGGTAAGAATATTTTGATTACATGATTCCTTATTTTCTCACAACATTTACTAACTTTGCTTGCTTTACATCTATTCTTTCCTCCCAGGAACCACCAAGGAGATGTCAATACAGAGAATGGATAGACACCAGAAGGGTTCTAACTCCACCTAGCCGTGTTGTGCAGCTTGAACTACCAGAGCAATACAGGGTTACTAAAGCGCGGTTTGAGAGAGGAGAGGGATCCTCACGTAGGGGTTAGCTATTATCGGACAACTTGGCATATTGAAATTTCTACTGTCATGCTTCCTTGTCCCATTATTACATCGTCGTTGTGTTCAACTATTGCACTACCTCCCTCCTATATCGAATCTAATATCATCTATGTAACCGCAATGCAAATAGTTGTATCATGTTCAAATTGTACTACTATTTCTTCATGTTACATAATTCTCCTTGTTTAAGTCCATATAATGTTTCTACGACCTAGACTGCGATAGGCCTATATAAATTATCCGAGTACTAATACGTCGAATAAGGTACAAAATAATATCTCACTTAACATATGAAATTGCGCAACAACCAACTTCAATACATTTTTATAACAATATTAACAAGTTTTACTAATAAATACTTCTTTATTTATTATTAACATAACATAGAAAAATCTTTTGGCCGTACTTTTTTCATCTGGGTCCCTATTGGGGCGGCAAGGGACCCAGATGAAAAAGTACGGCCGCAAGCTCTGAATGGGTGGCCAAAATTGCAATTAGCCCCTTGCCGCCCTCTGTATGGGCGGCAAGGGCCTAATCGCAATTTTGGCCGACGGCGGCAGACGGCGCGGTCGACCCACCGTCTGCCACGTCAGCTTGCCGCCCACCATTTGGGCGGCAGGGGCTATTTCTGCAATTTTTTTGGTCGATAGATTATTTCTGTAAATATTAAAAAAAAATCTAAAAACGAAAAAAATTCCTGGATTGTGCTAAAAGGGCCGGGCTGCAATTTGTTCCTCCAATGAAAATGTTCGCTACATATCCCTCAATACTAGGAAACGCAGCCGCTACGAAACCCAACCACAGGATTGACACGTGGCACGAGCCCATGGAGAGCAACAGGCTTCTGGCTGTTGGGCTGGTCCGTGTATATGGCCCAAGCTGACACGGAGCAACCAAGTGCAGTAAAATTCTAAAAAAAGAAAATTTGGAAATTTGATTTAGTCATGGACTTCAACCTGTGAATTCACCGTTCATACTACTGATAGGTCGAGTTTTATTCACGTCCCTCAATCATAATACAGGGTATAGAGGGTCCCCAACTTGTAAAATCAGTATAAATTGAATCCATCAGCAGTATTAAAGAGCCCTGTATTCACCGTGCATGTCAACGTATCTATATACCTAATCTGTATCTATACCTAATAACAAATACACAAGAATTCCGGTGAAAATTTTTGTCCGTCGTCACCTAAATTTTTCCGACAGCAACATCCCGAGTCCACCACACAAAAATCATCCCGAGTCTGTGTCAAATTGGTTCTGATCTAGATTTACATATAATGTGACTAAATTTAAACCATTTCATTTCATGTTACACCAAAAGAACTTGCATATACAACATACAAAAATTGGTTATAAAATTTCCTCGAATTAGAACCCAAATACAAGAATTGAAGAGCGGCAAACGAAGAAAAAAATCCAAATCGAGCAAAAAATCCAGCCACCAGAGTGATGGACTTACCGGTTTCAATCTTCGTCCACACATGGCATGATTCGTTGCATGCGCTCCCAATCAGCTTCACGTCATCGTTGGATGTCGCCAGAGATACGAGAGGCATGAGTTTGCCGCCGTCAAGCTTGAGCCACCATTGCCACCTTCGAGCTACCGCCATTGCCTCCCAATGCCCATATCGGTGAGAAGGGTGTGCAGATTAGCCGCCGGTGGTGGCTCGATCGAGCTGCGCCGCCCGTCACAGGCGGTGGCAGCCTCAGGCCAAATCTAGCAAGGAGCACGGCGGCAGCGGCTCACCGACAAAGAGGAAAGGGGCCGACGGTGTGCGGATTAGGGTTAGGTTTTCGTTGACTTTGTTTTTGTATCGAGTCGGGGAAATCCAAGTGGTCCCTCTCGCGTTGGGCCAACGTTGCCCCTAGGCCAGTGCATTTTATGGGCCACGTGTTCGAAGTCGGACTGGGCTAGAATCATGCGCAATTCGAGCCACGCGCTGCCGCCGCTTAACTTGGTGGGCTTTCTAGCCTTTTTTGAGTTTTTCTTATAGAAATAACACCAGTACCATTTTAATTGTTTAAAGTTGCTGAAAAATTATGAATTTTATGACTGCTTATTAATTCAAATATAGCAAAATATAACCAACGAGAAACTTAACTAGATGTTTTTATTATGTGGATTTATTTTCTAACCAAGGTAGACTATAAATTCACGTAAAATTAATTTCATCATAGCTCCTAATAGCTGTTATACTATTAAGAAAATATCTTTACCCGTTACAACGCACGTGTATTTTTTCTAGTCGACTCCGGTGGAGAGGACAGGGCTACCGCACCTGAACCAAACGGAGGAGGCGGCGTCGATGAGCCTCCTTTTGGATATGATAAAATAATAATGCTGACATCCAACAGTTAATTATCACCTTTGTGTGATGCCCTCAAGCAGAAACACATTCTTGTGGTGTCTTTCATCAAAGAGCGTAAACTTGTTGGTGTCCTCTAGCAAATTTTGGCTATATTTAAGTTGTGTGTATGTATTTCTTGTACAATACCCTTAAGGTGAGTTTGAGGAGGAGGAGATTGAGAAGATTGGGAAGATACGTAAAACGCGGTGAGCCATTAGCGCATGATTAATTGAGTATTAACTATTTTAAATTTAAAAAATAGATTAATATGAATTTTTAAAGCAACTTTCCTGTAGAAAATTTTTGCAAAAAGTGGACCGTTTAGTAGTTTGGGAAGCGTGCGCGCGGAAATCGAAACAACTCACCCACTTTTTTCTTCAGCTGCCGAACGCAGCCTTAGTTTCCTGTGAAATGCCGAATATATACATTTTGTGGGTTTCAAAATTAAGTCATGATAAAACGGAGTGGAAGAGAGGAAGAGGGATGCAGCGGCTCAGATTGGCTTAGTTGGAGCCCACTGCGACTACCGAAATAGATCCCGTGGAAGAAGGGAAGAGGGGATGTGACGGTTGAGCCTCGTCTCACCAAAGCCCGCGTCGACATACTCGGAGACAACAGTGCTAGGTGAGTTGGGAGGAGGAGCTTGATGTGGCGGAAGAAGGCGAAGAGTGATGCAGATAACAAAGGAATAAGAGAGAAAAGGAAATCGCTGACAAGTGGGGCCCACTGGTTTTAAAATACTTTTTGGCTGATTAGACTACCACGTGCATGCCACGTAAGATCAAACCACTCCGGATTAAGTCGGGATTTGATTTGTTCGGTTTGAAGGATTGGGGGTATAAAATTATTGGTATTTGAGTTTGGGGTAATTCGAACAATTACAATAGTTAGTTTAGGAGGTAATTATGAGTTTTTCTAATATTAATAAAACTCAATTTTCCTTTTCATCATGCAATTAATATACATGGTGTAGTAGTCTCAATAATGACAGGTTTTTCTCATGGAAAATCAGCAACAAGTTGATATTAGGACATGTGCTAAAGTTTGATATGGACTCTTAGGGCCTGTTTGGCACAGCTCCAGCTCCAGCTCCACCTCTTCTGGAGTTGGAGCTCATCCAAACAGTTTCAGCTCCACCAAAACTAGGAGTGGAGCTGGGTGGACCTCTCTTACAAAATGAACTAGAGTTGTGGAGCGGAGTTTAGGCAGCTCCACACTCTACTCCAGACCCAACTCCTGGAGCTAAATTTAGGAGTTGGAGCCAGGGGTGGATCCAACGTGGGTGTAGGGGGACTTGAGTCCCCCTACTCCCATAAGACCCCTGGATACCCCCGAAGCACCCCCTTCGATTTTTTTCATCATGAATGATAAACTAAATGTCTCTGGATGGCTGGAGGTTGAACAAACTGCGTAATTGAGCCCCCCCCCCCCAAATTTTTTGTTCCTGGATCCGCCCCTGGTTGGAGCTGTACCAAACAGGCCCTTAGTTAATATAGATCACCTATATATACTATCCTCTTGTAACAACGGAAACAAACAAGATCTCTTAACTATTAGTGCACCGAAAATTTGCAAGATGCGACTGAAATTAAGTTAGTTTTCTGCTCAACCTTGATGTGTGACATGAATTAATTAATTAATCAGCGTCTGTGAAGCAAGAGAGATAATAATAAGCTATTATATACTCCCTCCGTTTCAGGTTATAAGACGTCAAGTTTATAGACAAATATAACAATATTTATAATACTAAATTAGTTTCATCAAATTAATAATTGAATATATTTTCATAATAAATTTGTCTTGGGTTGAAAATGTTACTACTTTTTTCTACAAACTTGATGAAGCTTAAAGCAGTTTGACTTTGACTAAAGTCAAAATATCTTATAACCTGAAACGGAGGGAGTAACATGGTACTAAGATTTTTGCGTAGCTCAACTAATTTGGTTCCTTGTGATGAAACCAGTTTACTCGGGTTCAAATCGTATATTTGACTCGGGTGCTCGCATTTACGACTAATTATTTTTTCAGTGGTAGGCGACGTACTCGTCGACAGCTGTTGATAGAAAACACGAGGCCTGGGAGATCTGCTTAACTCTAGTACAGGTCCAAAACTCGCCTTCGGATGTATGAGCGTGCCAGTTGATTTGATTCTGCAATCAACAAGAAACAAAGACAAAGAAACCGTGATTAAACCCATAAATGATAGCCGATCGGCTAAATGCCGATGACATATCATTTATCTTTGAGCCGATGTCATATCGGCTGTAAATATCAATGATATATAATCCTTATATCGATATATACTTGAATCAAGTGATTGGGATAGATCGGTCACCTTGCCGAGACAGTATAAATCACTTAGATCGAAATATATATTAATAATGAGATTATATATATTCATAGCATAGCCGATCAGATAGATCTAGCGTGTATCGACTAATACTCCGATACTACTTTATATTAAGATGTTAAAGCAAATAGAATATACTAAACAGAAATCTAATATACTTAAATGCAACAAGATCTTAACATGAAGAGCAGATCTAGCATGTTAATTGAGCATGTGGAACAAAAGCAATTGGATCAGATAAGATCGGCTGAAACTCCGATACTACCCTAATCGGCAACCAGTAGGCAGGCTAGAGATTGAAATTCTAAGCACGACTTAATAGATCAAACTCAACTGATACAGCATTAAGTATGAAAAGAAGAACAATATCTAGACAATCAAGCCGCTGGATGTTTTATAGAGTGGTGGATATCTCATATAATCTAAGCCAACATCGTTATTTAACCTAATCGGCTGCCTTCTATTAGCAGATGTTAGCCGATTGTAGGTTAAATGACGATATTGTCAAGGATTATGCAAGATATATGATAACTTGACGGATTACATAAACAAGATTAGAGTATCATAAAGATGGAAGCACTAATCTCGAGAACACAAGCCGCCATAACAAGTTTTACCTCTTGTTGAAGATCGAAACCGATGCAGCTCAACCCGAAAGCAATAACTCGTCGAAATAAAACGAAAGCAAAAAGAGTGGCGATGCGCCGAAATTGTATTGAACGTGTGTGTTAATCATTACATAGGGCTCGGGGTCTATTTATACACAAGAAATACAAGATATGTCCATATTGGACACGATTCTTATCTCTAACAAACTCTAAGATACCACAAGTCTTTGCAGCAGACTTTTGCCCACATTTATCTCTAAGGAATTTACATAAAATATCCTAATTAATAGATACAATTGCCTTCCCAGGACTCTATCCATGCATGGCAATCATCTTGAAGCACATCAACTCGAACCCAATGTCGCACACGGGTTGTATTGTCGGAATCGGCTGTATCACTTAACCAGTCCGACTCAGACTTAGCCGATCCCAGTCGTAGCCGATCCGAACTCCAGCCGATTCTTACTCTGTTTCCGAAAAAACCCTTATCTCCGATGCTGATATTACCAAATTTGGTCGTTAACACATGCCCCCCAAGTCCGGGATATTTGGTAATGTTCCGGATTTGCCGTGTATCGACTCCGAGCAAGTTTCGCACTCTGCCGTTTTCCCGATTGTTACTCTAGCGCTTCAAATACTAACCGTTATCCCCGAGAAATCTCACACCGTGACTTCCGTTTTCCCCGCTTAAGTGAAACTTTACCCTCTCTCTCTCCAGCGATTCCTCCGACGCGCAAGGCGATCCCCAGGCGACTTCATCTCCGGCCAGATCTCCGCCTGCGACGATGTCGACCTCCGCCAGCCCATCTGCCGCATCATCAGCCGAATACGCTGAGGTAAGTTACCATCGGCTAGATCCCCTTTTCATCATTGGATCGGTTTTCTCTCGCCTCATACTGCTTTCTTTTCTCGGTTACTTTGAACTTGTAGCATCTCTCCAATTTAGTCGCAATTCCAAGCTTGTCGCATGAAAACCACTACTTTCTCGGCCCAGTCGGCAACCCGACCCCACTGAGTTCATCATCGGTGAGACCAATAGGATTCCTTTCAGACTGTCCAATCCAAATCTAGGTCATTGGAAGAACACCTTTAAATCTTAGCCGTCTCTAGAAAAAACTTCACCCGAGAAAAGTTGGATTACATGGTTCAAGCGCATGTCGGCTAGCAAAAGAGTTCACTGGGACGAAATCGGAATCGGCCAAGCACTTGACCTAACCATAGCAAACTCAGCCAAGGATGAACCTCTAATGGCAGCTACCTCTTATTTCTGGTCCAACACCATCAACGCCTTCT